AGACAGTGGGGAGAAGAAGGGAAGAAATACATACAGAATGCTTCCTACAGGTACTATGTCACTTTTAATTTTTGCTGTTTTAATGTATGTGATCTTCTCAACAAACCTAATTAGGAGGGACTTTTATTCAACTCTTTTTACAAGTGAGGAAACTCAGGCTTAGAATAGGTCAGTAACTTGCCCAAGGGCACACAGCTAGTCAGTAGTCAAACCGGGATTCAAACCTAGGTCCTTAGCCTCTAAGCTGGTGCTTTTTTAAGTAAGTTACTAACGTCATGGCCACGCCAGCCTGCTGCTTAAGCGAAGTGAAGTGTGCATGCTTTCCCAGCTCACCCAGCAATGGTGTGGCTGTCCCTACGAGGGGCATGTCTCCCAACCTGGGCTATTCCGGTGATGACTGTACACGTTTCTGAGGGTGCTGGGGGAGAGAAGGCCATTGGAGACAACTTGGAGACAACCTGTGGAACCCCTGAAAAGTCACAAGACTGGGAGAAAGCAGAAGCCATAGAATGCCAGCACAGGAAAAGCTAAGAGCCATATGTAATGGAGGCCTCCCACAGGATGCAGTGCTCCTTAGCAGGACGGGCACACACAGGGTTTGTGAATCTGCCACTTATTAGCTGGGTGACCTTGAAAAAGCAGTTCTCTTCTCCACAGAGTCTTAGTTTATTCCCTGAGAAAGGTGGTTGAAACTGTAATATCAAGTGGCTGTTCTGAGGATTTAATAAGCTGACATAAAACACATACTGACATTGTGATGTAGCTTGCACAATACCTTGAATTGGTAATACTGTTACTATTGGTATCCTAAGCTCTGATTACAGACAGAAGACAATGCAGGGTCCAGAGCAAAATGCAAGGAGAGCCTGGCCTCCTAGGGAGCCAAGAGTCTGGGATGAGGAAGGCTCCACTTCCCCTCTTTTCATGGACAACTACATTCCACCTCCTTCAGAAGAAACAAGGATGCTGTGCTTTCCTCCTGACAAAACCCTGACTCCCTAGTGATCGGCCTAAGATGTCAGAGCAGCCTAATTTTTCCCTCCATGAATAGAACTGGCCAAAACAGAGGGTGAATGCTGACCTCTCCACTGGCAGTGAGGGCAAACCACATCCACTTTCCAGAGCAGCTGGCCCCTCCTTTGCTGCAAGAGGTGCAGAGAATCCTGGGATAACACCCACCCCACTGAACTCTCTGCAGAGCGAGTACCCTGTATAAGCAAAGGCAGAGAATCTGCCTTCTTTTTATTTTCCAAAAGGCACAAGATAAGAAAAAGTAGAGTGGAGTAGGGTGTCAAGTAGACAAAACAAAATAATAATAATAACTCACAATTTAATTGAGCATGTACTATGTGCTAGACCTTATGTGTAAGAGCTTTGCAAGTATTATCCTATTTAAGCCTCACAATTATCCTGCAAGGTAGAACTTTTCATCATCCCCATTTTACAGATGAGGAAGTGTTTAGAACTTGCAGAGGCACTGCAGGTTCGACAGGATGCAGACTGAGATCTCATGTGGCTCAAAGCCCACAGGCAAGGAAAACCAAAAGTCAAAATGCTGGATTGGACTCCAGGTTCTGCCTCCTTCATCCTTGCCTATGACCTCAGGTGTCTTTGGAGGAATAGAGGAAGGCGACAGGTCCCTTCCTGAGTTGGGTTACAAGAGCAGTGCTGAGAGTTGGGCAGTGCTCATATACACGGGCTTAGTGATAAAGGGATGGGGCTTACAATAGAGGCCAGCGGAGGCCATGAAGCCATGAGAAGCAGGAAGAGGCGTGGTCAACAAGTTATTTTTGGCTCCATTCTTTCATTACTAACCCTTTCCTTACTGTGAACTTTCTATAAAATGTCATACTTGTGAAATGAGGGTGGTGGGGAAATGGAGGAGAGACTGAATGGCCACTGAGGCACCTTCCAGCTCAGAGTTTTTGCTGTGCACTGGAGGAAGTCTGCAAGACCAAATAACTCCCCAAACAGATGTCAAAGCCACCGTGTTCTCAGGAATCTCTGCAAATAACACACTCGCTTTTGCCAAGATAGAAACAGCCACAAGAATACACTTCACTTTGCCAGAAAAAAAAATAGCTGCAAGAATAATTCATGCATGTAACGTTCTCGTCTTCTATGCCCTATGTAACTATGAATTAATTCTCAGAAGGACACAATGAGAGACGACAATGGCAATACCAAAATGACAAGCCTCTTTTTTCCAAGAAAAAGAATGGCTACCTCTTTATATAAAGGAGCTCACTAAAATTATCTTGGATCCACACCAGACCCAAAGGCATTTGAGATTGGAAGGAAATTTGAAGGTCAACTGATTCGACTCTCCGTTGGGTGCCTAAGTCCCATCCACAATGTCTCACAGGGGGATTGAGGGAATGCCTAAATGCCTTAAGAACAATGAAACCTATCGCATTCAATGGGAAGCTCTAAGCTTTTCCAAGGTCTTTTTTATACTGTCTACAGATTCGGTTCTTCCTCTGTACCTTGTGGCCATACAGACCATGCCTAATGCTCCTCCACAGCAGCCCTTCAAAAATGGGGCCCCCAAGTCTTCTCTTCTGCAGAGGTGTCAATCATTCTGGACTTATAAAAACAGTCTGACCGCTGAGATTGTTTTTGTTGTCGTCCTTGTTTTTTTAAGACAGATTTACTTGATCCACAATTATTCCAAGATGATTACTCCTCAAATAACCCAAACTGTGCATTTTTTTCAACCTATATTATCAGTAACACTGAAAGCTGATTATAATCAACTTGCTTTCATAACAAGAAGGAATAAATCAAAAAATAGACTTTATGAGAATCCACTTGGCTAAAAGTATCACCAGCAAGCATCATATTCCCAGATAATCAAGGAAGAACTGTGAATGCACACTTCTCCAGCACTGCCCATGCCCCACTGCAAGTTAAATGCCCAGCTTTCAAATTACAGAACCATCAAAGTCGTCTAGCCACATCCTCACATTTTATGATGTGGAAACGGAGGCCCAGAGATCCCATCTCTTTCTCCTTGCCTTCCCCAAATGTTTACTAATTTTCTGCACTGATTTAGGCACTGGCGGTACCAAGGCATCAAGCACCGGGGGTACCAAGGGACCAAACCGTTGCTCTCCCAGGTCTCTCAGCAGGGACTTGCAAGGCAACGCAGTTCAAGGGATTTAAAATATGTGGAAGCAAACTGTTGGATAACACGATGAGAGGCATTTGGAAACTTGTACAAAGGACTTGGAAGACAAAAGGCCGTCTCCTTTCTCTGTGTCTTGGCTCAAATTGCCCCACCCACTGGAACACCTATTCCTCCTCTTTGTTTGGCAAACTCCTCCTTGAAGACTCAGCTCAGGTATCACCCCCTCCCCCAACACTCTCTCCCTGACTCCCCCTTTAGCTGTCCTCCCCCTTTATGCTCCACCATACCTTGTACAAATCACACTCATTGTACTTAGCATCAGGTACTCCCCTCATCCCTCCTGTGTCAATCTTCTCCGTTAGACTTTATCCTGGAGTTAGGGAACTGCGTATTATTCAGCTTATACGTCTAATCTAGTTCAGTTGGCATGTACTGGGTTTGATGAAGGAACAAATAAACATATCAGCAGAGTCTTATGGGTTAACAGGAGTTTGTCACACAGGAGAGAAAAGAATTCCAGGCCAAGGAAGCCGCATGTAGAGACACAGTACTCTGAAAGGGTGTGGCGTGCTTGCGGAGCTGTGTGGGGTTCTCGTGGTGGGAGCATTCAGGGTGGCAGAGGTGGCTGTGGGAAGAGTGACTGAGTTTGGGATTTGGGAGTTACGTTTGGCCCAGATGTGGAAAAGTGCACAGACATTATCCTGTAGTTAGAGTGGGGGCAGAAACGTCTTTACAGAGGGGAGTGACATGATGCAATCTGTTTTTGAGGTCACACCAGTGGCCAAAGGAGAAAGCACTTCACTGAGGACAGACACAAGGCAGGAGGGTGTGTTTGGCACCTACTGTATGATCCAGGACATAGGGAGGGTCTGTATCAGGGGCGTTGTGTCCCGAGAACTCAGGGAGAGCCCAAAGAGCAGAAGTGAAGCGTGGACTCAGGTTTGAGAGCTTAGGTGATGCCAATGGGACTGGATGAGTAACCTGAGGCGTGGGAGAGGCGGAAGAAGCATCAACAACGATGCAAGGGTTTCTAACTTGGAACTCCGGGCGAAACAGACAGTGTTAATAGAGACAGGGACCATAAGAAGAGGAGCAGTTTGGGGGGAAAGATTAGGAGGTCATTTTTGGAACGATTCCTATGACAATCTTTCCAGATGATTTCTATAGGTCCAGAGCTACCTTGTTAACTAAAAGAGATAGAAGAAGTGCAAGGAAATCAATCATGAAAACCTAAAGAGTACAAGACCAATATTTTAATCCTCACAGAGACAGATGGAGCAATTCTGATGATTTGAGGGCAACAAAACAACTTCAGATGAGAAATGTTCTGGTTCTTAAAACTACCAATCATTTCTCAACCAGTTCCATGGCCAGTTGTATATAAAATATTCTCTAGACAATCAGATTCTGTCTTATTTTCTGGACCCAAATGAATCATTTTCATATCTTTAAAAAAATTATTATTACCAGCTGGCTAATGGCCTCACACCATTTGGTGGGTCCTAGTCACCAGGGAGACTTCAGTTTAAATTAATTAAGTGGGCCCACTAGCCATTATATTGACTAACAAGCTCATTTTTTACTCATCTTTTCAAAATGCAGAAAGGTCTAGATATTGCTGGGGAAAAGCCCACAGACACACTCACGAGTGAATCGCTTCTGCTCCAGAAGTGACCCATCTTTTAATTTAGCCACATTCCTCTCTCCCTCCTTAGAGCAGAAGCTCTGAAGAGCGAGCAATGAACAGCACCTCTATAGAGCCAAGCGCTCCACTTAAATAAACAACGCAAGGATTTTCCCGGTCCACGTGGTTATCCTAAGTGTGCAGGCACTGTTCTTGGTAGAAAAGAAACGGAAACTGCCAGCTCACCCTCTTCCTCAAGTTGTAGGTGAGAATGAGGTTCCGGGAGAAGGAATGGGAGAAGGCCGTGTAGAATTCCAGCACTTTCTGCAGGGCGTCCCGTTTGATCACATGCAGGTCACAGTAGGTCAGGGCCCTAACGTTGGCACAGGACTGGGCAAGGGTGGCTTCCTTCCAGAACACATCTCCAAACACGTCTCCTTTCCCTAAAGAGAGAAAGTGGTGATGAGGAACGTGTCAGCCAGGATGGGGTCTGGCCATCCAGGCAAGCTTCCCTCTGTCTCCCAGAATTGCTGTCCCTTCGGCATTCTGCAGCTTGGGCTCAGAAAAGGTAAAGATGATTTTAATTTGAACCTTCATAACCTGCAATTTAAGAAACTTTAAAATACCATATAATACATGTCAAAGTTTAACCAATGACTTTGGGGATCATTAATGTTGCCTCCTGAACATCCTATCCAAAATGGGAACTCCCTGTTGGTTGTTATCACATTCCCATTTTTCCAAAACACCAATTATGAGCTGTAATTATATTATTTGTTTATTGTCTACCTCCCAACGTGAGAGTCCACGGGTCTCATCCCTCCACGTAACACAGTGTCCGGCACGTGGTAGGAGTTCTGTGAACATTTGCAGGCAAAAGAGAAATGAGGAAGGAAGGCGAACCGTGGTTCTACATTAGTGTGACTAAGTGAGTGCTGAATATTAGGCTGTTATGGAGAGGGCGTGGACTCTTCATCAGGAGCTGAAGAAGAGGGGAGGTCTCCTCTGTGTACCATGATCTCCACTGAGGAAGTCAGGCGAGAGTGGAGTTCATCCTCTCCCACACTCTGTCCTGCCCTAAGGCTTAGGTTTGTATGGTCCCTCATTCCTCCCCTCTCTTCCATACCTCCTTCCATGTTCCTCATCCTTACCAAATGCCCTCCTGGGAGTATAAAAATGTGGGCCCGAGATAAATGGCATCTCCAAGATCCTCTATGCCTAGCATTTCACAAAAGTACATTTAATAAGTCTATAGAGTACTAAGCCCACATAGCCATATTCTGGATCAAACTTTTATCAATCTCCTCTAAATATCTGCTTTTCACACCTAGGGATATTATTCCAACCTTTCCCAGAGACCAACATTTCAACATATGTCTACGCAGAGCCTAATTCATTCCTGGCACAGCCTCTGGTTATAAATAGCTTGCAACGTTGTTTATCTTGCCTCTAAATTTTCAACACAGATAAACACAAATTTGGATCCCCAGGGAGCTGGAGAGAAGTACGCAGGGGAAGGAAACAATGCTACAAGGTTGAGAAGTAACCCTGACAACCCTGAAGAGAGTTGTCAGCTCATGCATCCAGATCAGACACACTCCACAGCTGGGACCCAGGTACTCGTGACTCAGAAGGATCAACAGGGCAGCTGTTCTCCTGATGCAGGCTAAAGAGGCAATTAGACCTTCAAGCACCTGGACAGAACCTGACTTTTTCTCCAACACCAAAACAATGTCCACTCTAAGTATATAATGTACCTCAGGGGTACAGCATTCTCTAAGCACCCCCACAATGTGAGCTGAAAAACAGGTGTACTAGACACATTACTTCACAGTTCTCTGTGTGTGAAATAATTTATGAACATGGTTTTACCGACTCAATATGAGTAGGGTACATGCTTGGGGTAGCTTTTAGGTAAATATGCCTTTATAACTGTGCTATTTAAATTCCATTATCAGGTGTTTTTCAATTGTCTGTAATATGAGTGGGCTAATTTAGGGCTGGGGCCCACGGATGGGAATGTTTCTTTCTGTGGGATGTTACCTGGCTTCCATGAAGATAGGCTCATTAAACGTGTGCTCCCTAATTCTGAGTTCTAACCAACAAGGCTGGCCAATTCGTTCACACAAATTAAGCTCCATAACCCCCTACACTGCACTGCACTGCCTCTCATATTTATGTAATCTTATTCTCCTAAAGAAGCTCTTCTTCTCACATGCAATATGGTAGACAAAAACTGGACTCCATCTGTAAGCTGCAACTTTTATCAAGAGAGGAAGCCTAATTCCCTTCCCCTTGAATCTGGACTCACCTTAATCCCTGCTTTGACCAAGAGAATGTGGCAGAAGTGATGTTCTGGGATTTTGAGGCAAGGTCATAAGAAGCCTCGCAGCTTCTCCCTGGGTCTCTTAGAATACTTACTCTTAAGATACTCCCTCTCGGAATCCAGCCACCATGTTTTGAGAAGAACTCACTACACAAGAGCTCACATATAAGTGCTCTGATGGACAGCCCAGCTGAGCTCTCAGCTGACAGCCAGCTGCCACCAGTCCTGTAAATGAGCCATCTGGCCATCCAGCCCAGTCGAGCCTTCAGATGATGGACTGCAACCACATGTGGGAAGCCCAAGTGAGAACTAACCAGCTGAGCTAAACAGCCCACAGAATGGTGAGAAACAATAATAAATTTTGTAAGCCACTAAATGTAGGGGTGGTTTGTTATGCAGAAATTGATAACCAGAACACACAGATTCATGGAACTCTAGGCTGAAAGACCCACGAGAGATTACTCAATGGGTTACCTAACATTCCAGCAGAACATCTCTCATCATCCCAGCTCTGAGCTGGCACCCCACTTCCCTCCCTGAAAGAATGAGACAAGAAAGAACTGGGAGTTGTTCTGCAAGGGGCAGATTGTCCTGGGTGAGTTTTTTGAATATCCGTGAGAAAACGGAAAATTGACAAATCTTGCAGTCTCCCATTGGGATGAAATGTGGTATAACTAAGGCAGAACTTTCAGAGTAGAAGACCATTGGTAAACTTGTCTGATTCTTATTAAGATTATGCCATTTAAACAAAACCCAATATATGAGCATTCTACTTCTCCAACAAATTTGGGAGTAGTTTTTCTAATTACGAAAGAACCCAGAAAGTAAAATAATAGCTCCTTATACATATTTAACATATGAATTTATCTGTAAAAGTTCAGTTTATAAACAACTCTTCAGGGGCATAAGACAAAGGGCAACCATACTGTGGTTGAAACACACCATAAAATAAATAAATGTATCTTTAGAAATGACAATGTTTCCATTCTAAAAAGTTTTCCAGTCAAAGGTTTTGACAGAAACAATAAATGAAGAGTAGTTCCTACTACAAAAAGGATTTCATGGTAAGATAATCATGATTAATCTGTAGGGTCTAGGAAGTCTTGATGTTGTCATAACTCAGATCTGATTTTCAACCCAAATGGAAAATCATACAGTCTTTCTTCCTGTCAAGGCAGCATTTTTGATATAAATGATCTGTTTGTGAGATTGAAGAATGTGGTGTCGGAGGACCTGTCAGATTCAAAACAAACCCAAGACTCTTCTGGCAAATGAGAAATGTATTTACGACACACGTAAGTTGGGGAAACTGTCAGAAGGAAGGAGACAGAGCATTTGGCAGACCGCCTGTAAGTTATACACATCTCTGGGAATCATGGCTTCCCAGGTCAGGGTTACGAATCAGAGGCCAGGACCAGCCCCACATCCACATTCATCTCTTGTTCCCTAGTGTGAAACGATCACTCACCAAAGAACAAAAGCTACCCCAATGCACTCGGCAATCAAACTACTTGAGGCAATCAGCTTATTGATTTATTTATGACACTGAGGCGCTGGGTGCAGAATGTTAAAACCTAACGTTCCGAGTTTCTAAAATACATTCTGAGTGGATGTTCCTTAGCTGGGAAGAAAAAAGGGGAAGTAAGGAAAGGCAGTCTAATTAAACCTCCAAGCAAACATCCCTGTAATAATTAATCCTCCTGCCCTCCCACCCCCCAATTATATGCAGCTGTCTTGACTGCACCTCCACTTTTGCAGTGGACATAAACAACCGTGGGGTACAAACGTGGGACGACTGAAGAACATTCACAAAACATAAGTGGGAGGTGGGACACGGGGTGGAGGGAGGTGGCACAGGGAGAGGGAGGGGAGATCTCTGCAGGGAGCACAGCATGGGAGAAAACCAGGACGCTGTAGACAATTTGGTTTAACGAAGGGCAGAGGCTGGAACAGCCACTCGAGGATGCTGAAGGGGGTGGAAGTTGGGAGTCGGGGGTTTGGGAAGGTTAAGAGGGGAGATCAGGGCAAATTCGAGAGGTGCTGGAACTGGAGCCCTGGGAAGATCAAACAGCCTACCAGAATGTTAGGGTTTTAGGGAAGCAATTGTGCTCTGAACCTGACAACGGAGTTTGGAACCCTCCAGAAAAGGCCCTGTTTATTCAAAGACAAGCTCTGAGCGAGCTTGGCAGGCCAGAGGGGTTAGAGCAAAAATGAAATTTCCAACTGCTTCTCTTCACTATTCTCTATTCCGTGCTCTTATAAGGACCACTTGCAGTGGTATTTTGTACTAAGAAAAACATAATTCTGCAGTTAAAGTCACTGTCTATTGCTAAAATCATCAATCATTTCTATCCCAAACCAATCAGAAAGGACTCATTCAGTCACTCATGCAGCTTTTGGCAGGCACTGTTCTAGGGGCTGAGGCACAGCAGTGGAATGACAGACATGATGCAGTGAGAGGTAGAGATCCGGGAGATTACAGCATATTAGGGACTACAATGGGGAGAGTGCAGGAGGGGATCCAGCTCAAGCTCAAGGGGTAAGGGAAGGTTTTCAGGAAGATGTGATGTCTGAACCGAGACCTGAAGGATGAGTTCCAGTTAACCAACATAAAGACATAGCACAGAAATGATTACAGGGTGAGGGAACAGCATGTGCAAAGGCCCTGAGGCACAGGCTATGGCTCTTTAGCAGGACTGAAAGCCATTCAGAAGCCTCTGGATGATGCCATGTTTTGATCATCTGTTCCTTCACTCACCCATAGAGATGAGTGTTGCCAGTATATTCTGTATTCCGTGGAGGAAAGTGCCTGGTCTCCTCACTCGGCTGCAAACTCACCTAAGCACCTTCCATACTTTGTATACTGAATGTGCAACATCAACTTACTGAGTCGCTATATAAATACCTGCATTCACTATGCTATTCAGGGCTCCTCTGGGGGTGATGAGAGATATACCAGGACCTCAACCCACCCTACTGCCTTTATTCCTCCTCTCTGGGGTATCAGGAAGTTCTTTGCTGTGAAACCATTTCAGGACTAGAGGGGCTTTGTCACCTACTAATCAAGATGGTGAAACGTGACTGCAGAGATGCAGTGTAGCTGAGAGAGACTCTGAG